AAAAAAAAAAAAAGAAAAAGAAAAAGAAACTGAATGGTTGGGTGTGGTGGCTCATGCCTGTAATCTCAGCACTTTCGGAGGCCAAGGCAGGGCAGATCACCTGAGGTCAGGAGTTCGAGACCAGCCTGAACAACATAGAGAAACCCTGTCTGTGCTAAAAATACAAAAATTAGCCTGTGGTGGTGGGCACCTGTAATTCCAACTACTCAGGAGGCTGAGGTAGAAGAATTGCTTGAACTCAGGAGGCGGAGGTTGCAGTGAGCCAAGAGCGCGCCAGTGCACTCCAGCCTGGACTCCAACACAAAAAAGAAAAAAAAAGAAAAAAAGAAAGAAAAAGAAACTGAAGGGCCTTGGGACTTGGGCCACACCCTCTGTCAAGCTACGCTACCTCGTTTGCTGCAGCTGCCATGGGAGTCGGATGGTTGACCGCATCACCCAGAGCGATGGCTAAGCGGAGATCCTTCTGAATGTATTTCAGGTAGAAATCAGGTTTAAAGTTGCCTTGCAGGATATCTGAGGAGAAAAAGCCAGTATCAGATAAAAGCCAAGGACCTGAAATTAAAAGCCACCTACAGTCCATCAGGTGTGAATACCTAAAACGTATTCAAGGCTCTGTTCCATACAGCCTAGGCCTCACGGCCTCTCCCACACCCTTAGATACCTGAGGGCTGGCGCTCCCAGCCTATATTCCCAAATCCCGCCCACTGTGTATCTGAACCTCCTCTGGCCAGGGTCAGGGACTGACTACAGAGGGGCATCTTTCATGCTCACTGAACCCCTGACGTAGTCCCCTGTTCTAATCAAACACCAAATGCAAGAAGAGGGATCAAAGGCAACTCACTTTGGCACTTCTGGTCCAGGAAGATGCTGGCCAACTGTCCCTGATTGAGGATGTCCAAGAGTGTCTGCTGGGACTGGCCTGTCACCTGGGCCAGGGTCAGCCCCTCGGCGATAGTGGCCATGAAGCTCCCTTGGACCATGTTCACGATCAGCATCATCTTGGCTGCGTTACCCACTTCACCTGCCCAGGGCAAAGACTCACGGTCACAGCCCAAGAATGCCACAGACAGGGCTTCTCTGCCCACGCTCACCTCTGCTCAGACCCACCTCTCTCCAGGGGAGGCCCCCTTCACCTGCCCCCGACAGACTGGGCTCTTCCTCCTTCCACGCACTGACTATGCAGGTGAAAGGAAACCTTCCCTGGGGCCCCCGGCAGAAAGGGTGTGTGGGACTGACGCTGTCATCAGTGTGACACAGAGGAGATGTGGCCCCAGGCTCCAGGCCTGACGGGTGCAGGCGTGTTACCTAGGAAGAAGGAGGTCTTCCCCATCGCCTGGAAGCAGCTGCTGCAGTCCTCGTATAAGCCCCTGTCTCCAGCCGCTAAGATCACCAACATCCCATCATTAGACAGCTGCTGATTCCCTGAGACGGGGGCTTCCAGAAAGCGCCCCCCCCTGGACACAATCACCTGGAAAGAAAAGTCACAGCTTCTGGAGGCCTCCTCTCTCCCAGCGCTCTCTGAGCAGGACACAAGGAGTGTTGCTGAGTGGCCACGGCTGCTCATCACACCTTCCAGAGCTGGAGAAGACGGCCACCCATACCAAGGTTCTACAGCTGACTCCTGAACTCAGGAGCTAACCATGTGCAGGTCAGACAGGCCGAATCACAGCAGTGATGAGACGCTGGGGTCTCCACACAGGCATCCAACTGACTTGGAATTTCTTTCTTTCTTTTTTTTTTTTGAGACACAGTCTTGCTCTGTCGCCCAGGCTGGAGTGCAGTGGCGCGATCTCAGCTCACTGCAAGCTCCGCCTCCTGGGTTTACGCCATTCTCCTGCGTCAGCCTCCTGAGCAGCTGGGACTACAGGCACCCGCCATCACACCTGGCTAATTTTTTTGTATTTTTAGTAGAGACAGGGTTTCACTGCGTTAGCCAGAATGGTCTCAATCTCCTGACCTCATGATCGGCCTGCCTCAGCCTCCCAAAGTGCTGGGATTACAGGTGTGAGCCACTGTGCCCGGCCCGGAATTTCTTAGAGACCAACAACTAGAACCTGATGCGACCATGTCAATGGCTTGGCTGAACACACAACTCCCCTGTGGATGCTGCCCTCCCCTCAGAACATGTGGGTCCCAACTCCCACTCCCTTATTTGGGCCAGATGCTCGGGGACGAGGGATGCTTTGCCAGTGCCAAATGCAGACAGCTGCTCAAACCCCAATGCCAGGCGGGCGGCCTGGGTTGCTTCTCAACATAAGGCTGGCAGCTCCAGGACTTGATGCCCATCCCAGCCATGCAGCAACTGCCCATGGCTATTCAGACTAGCTGCGGTTTAAAGGTGGAGCACGGGATAGGCTAGTCCCAAGGCTACTCGCCTCTCCTCTTCCCTCTCTGGCATTGGCTCTAGAGTAACTGCCCATTCTTGTAAGCCTGAGTCTTGGGCTCTGATAGAAAAGATGCTGGAGAGCCAGCCCGAGGAAGGCTGCTACCTGGGCCAGCTCAGTGACTGTGTCAGCGTCCACTGTTGACATGTCCACGTAGCACTTCCCAGGGCGGATCCCTTGTAGCACACCACTGGGGCCCAGCACCAGCTGTGGGGACATAAGGGAGAAGCAATAGCCCAGGCTCCCAGGCAGATGCTCAGGAGCCCTACAGACCTCAGATCAGAATCCTGCTGCTGTTTTGGCTCATTTCCTGATTTCTATCAAGCTGAAAAGGGAAGAACAATGAAATAAGCAAGGGATAGGAAAGTACTTCCTGCATGTTCCCATTTATCTTTAAAAAGAATATATGTGAGTGTGTGCATTTCTTTTCATTAAAAAGAAACCCATTTAAAAGAATGGTTTATTTTGGGGGCTTCTTTGGATTTACTTGGATTAGGCTAGTCACCAGTTTAACAAGATGACTACCGCACTTGAACTTGTAAAATATACAAATACAGCAACAGCTAAATATAGAAACCTGGCACCTGGACCAAAGGCACACTCAGTCCCAAAGCTTCCAGTTCAACAAGCACACATGAAGCCTGTTCAAGACGAATTTCAGCACAGACTCCAAGGGCCCTAGTAGTATTCATTCTTTGATCGGAATTAAAGGAAGTCTGTATTCAATTAATGCAAACACCCTTCACAATGGGAAATGGCCCCTCATGGGAAATTCAGCCCCCGACATGTGGACACTCACTTGGTGTGCAGGGGAGGAGGGGAGGAGGCCAGCCAGCAATCCTGGCTGTGACCCGGAGTCGCTGAGGGGAGGGAGGGGGTCCTTACGTCCTTGGCCGCCTTGGGATCCGACACGCAGGCGAAAGTGATGTCGCAGGTTGAAACGACTTCAGCGGGGGTTCTTCCCAGACGGGCCCCCTCCTGGATGAACAAATCACACTGCAAAAGTCACAGATCCTAACGTGAGCTGCAGGCAGTGCACAACAAACATGCCAGCCAGGCCAGAGAAGCGCTGACCAGGCCTCCTGGCAGGCCTCCCAAGGCAGGAGGCTGAGGCCGGGAGCCTGGGTCATGGAGACAGGAGCCCAACTTTTGATGAAGTGCATGGGGCCTTTTACCAGCCATCTTCAGTTTTTGCGTGACAGGTGCCTAGGATGATGCACTACTTCACAAGTGTCTGCTGAAGGTGTGCTGTTTCAAGAATGGGATGTGAGCAGTACCTGTCCCCAGCCCCTGCTGTGCTATCCTGGCTGTGGCCTTGAGCTATCAACACTTTGCTGGGAATGTGGGGCTGTGGCTGGGACCCTTCCGCCTGGTGGCCATTACTTTTTGGGATGTTTCTCAACACTGTTGTCAGGTTAATAAGACTTCTGGAAGTGTCTAAAAGCACTAACATTTTGGCTTTTTTTTTTTTTTTGAGACAAGGTTTTGCTCTGTCACCCACGCTGGAGCACAGTGGTGCAATCATGGCTCGCTGCAGCCTCAACCTCCTGGACTCAAGTGATCCTCCTGCCTAAGCCTCCTGAATAGCTGGGACTACAGGTGCATGCCCCATGCTTGATTTTCTTCTTCTTTTTTTTTTTTTTTTTTGTAGAGACAGGGTTTCACCATGTTGCCCAGGCTGGATGGGCTTACTATTTTATATCAAACTTTTAATAATTTTACGATTCACATTTATCTATATTATCTTTCATAATTCTGGCATAATTATGGTTTATAGTGGTTGACTGCAGAACACTTCACTGAGAGACATACTGTGATTTACCTAATGGCTCACCTGCAGTTTGACACTTAGCCCGCTTTCAATTGTAAAGTGATATCAACAAACACCTTTATGTACAAAACTTTTCTATTTTAAATTTAGGTCTCCACAAGTAAAATAAAACAGGTTCTAAAACAGTTTTAAGGCTCTTAACAAAAGTAGACAGATGACTTCCCCATTAGACTACGTCACTTCATAAAGAGCACCAGCAATATCTCCTGTTATGCCAGTGCCGAGTGTGTAATTTAAAAACTACAAATAAGGGCCCATAAATATATGTAAAATTCTTCCTACCTGATCATTTAACCAGTCAAAAAAGGCAACTTTTTGTTTGATATATTTTAATTACTCCTGATTACTGAACCTTTTTTATGCCTTTGTTTCCTCTTTTGTGAGCAATTTTTTTGTCTTTTTTTTTTTTTTCTGAGACAGGGTCTTGCTGCTGCCTACGTGATTGCAGTGGTATGATCACAGCTCACTGCAGCCTCTACCTCCTGGGCCCAAGAGATCTTCTGGCCTCAACCTCCCAAGCAGCTGGGACTATAGGCAGGTGCCAGCTCACTCGGCTAATATTTTATTTTTTGTAGAGATGGAGTCTATGTTGTCCAGGCTGGTCTCAAATTCCTGGACTCAAGCAATCCTCTTCCCTCAGCCTCCCATTGTGTTAGGATTATAGGTGTGAGCCTATTCTCACATTTAAAATTAGGAGCACCCTGCTAATTTTTTTGTCTTAATTATCAAACTATGTGTTTAATAAAATCAATGTATTACCCTTCTATCGTATTTGCTGCAAGTACTTCTAGTTGGTATTCCTTTCAATTTTGTTTATTATTTGTTGTTGGGGAGTATTATCAAAAAAAATCAACTGATCTTCTTGTGTGATCTTTATTGTTTCTAGATTACAAAGATCTATGTTAATATTTATTTTCTTCTGGTTTTCTTTTAAAAAATTAATTCTAGGCCAGGCACAGTGGCTCATGCTTGTAATCCCAGCACTTTGGGAGGCCGAGGCGGGTGGATCACCTGAGGTCAGAAGTTCGAGGCCGGGCGCGGTGGCTCACGCCTGTAATCCCAGCACTTTGGGAGGCCGAGGCGGGCGGATCACAAAGTCAGGAGATCAAGATCATCCTGGCGGGCGGATCACAAAGTCAGGAGATCAAGATCATCCTGGCTAACACAGTGAAACCCCGTCTCTACTAAAAATACAAAAAAGTTAGCCGAGCGTACTGGCGGGCGCCTGTAGTCCCAGTTACTC